CCTCGCCTTGGGGTCAGAGCGTCTGTGGACAGACCCTGGTGGGGGGCCTGGATCACTGTCAGGAAGAAGGTTTGGCCACATGCCCCTGGGGCTGGGACCAGCCCAGCTGCAGAGGGCATCTGCAGCAGAGCGAGCTGAGGGCTTCTCACGGCTATCTGCCCCACCAGGGCAGCCTGGTTGGCACTGCTGTTGCAGCCACAGCAGTGACTAGGCCTGTGTGGGGCGTGGAAGGAGGGAGCAGAGCAGAAGCATATGTGGATAGCTGTCCATCTCAGAGGAGGTCCTGTCTGCAGGCGAGCAATCCATGGGGCAGAAGCTGGCTGCCAGCAGCTTCATTGGGGAAAGCAGGCCAAAGCAGCGGTCCTCAAACCCCCAACTCTGTGCCTGGGACCCTCGTTTCTGTGCCAGCCAATGCCTCCCAGCCCCTAGCACTCAGCATTGCTCTCTGTCCCAAATCTTTGGAGTCAGACAGGCTGAATTCAAATCCCCTGTTTGCAAGCTGTGTGATCTTGGACAAGTCACTTTTCCCCTCGAGGCTCTTGTTCCCTGACCTGTAACATGGGAAATGAGAGTACCTAGATGCTGTAATATAAGCAAGGCAGCCTGTCCTGTCACAGAGAGTGGCTGTTACTATTACGGTTGTTTCCTCCAACGCATCTGCACCTCCCAGTCTAGCCCCAGTCCCTGGCACCGCTCAGCCCCATGGCAGCCAGGGCCAGAGGCTGGTCCAATTACTGTCCATCTTAACAAGGCCAATAACACGGTGTCATCTGTGGCAGTAACTCTGTATAAATAGGAGAGGAGCTGAAACGGCCCAGCTGTGCTGTCCCAACCCAGATGGAAGCTCCCAGCACTGGCCTGAGGTGGGTGGCCACCACGTGGTCGGCATCTGGGCGCCATCCTTGGTTATGGGAAACCCAGCCAGGGCATCCCTCCCATGGGGCCTTGCCATGGAGACAGGCTCGAGGTTAGCTTAGCTTAGGTTCTTGGGCATCTCAGTGGTCCAGGCCCTGGGCCAGCAGACTCCTTGAGACCACCGTCATTACTCCCAGTCCCAGTCAGGGAAACTGAGGCCCTGGGAGGTAGAAAGGCCTGCCTGAGGCCACCCAGAGTGGCAGACCCAGGGTTTCAAATCTCCTGGTTCCCAGCCCCACACCCTCCCACTCACACATGTGGCAGAGTTGGCAGGGCCCCCAGGCCTGGGTGGCCCACTGACAATGGGACCTGGACAGATACACCATGAGGGGTGCCAGGGAGGCAGCGGGAGAGTGTTGACTCCGGAGGAGAAAGCAGGCAGGAGAGCCACAGCCTGGAAACCTTGCGTCCAGCTTGCCTCGCCAGCTGCCAGGCACCGGAGGACTGGCCGGGGTAAAGGAGAAGACCAACAATATGGCAGCCCAGGCAGACCTGTGTTCGAATCCTGCCTCAGTCACTTCCCAGCTGTGGCCCCAGATAAGGGAAGCGACTCCCTCAGCTTCAGCTTCCCCTCTGTGAATAAAGATAAAACCTCCCTGACAACGGTGGTGGTGTTAGGAGTAAATAACCTGGGCAAAGCTCTTAGCTTAGGACCTGGCGCATAGTGAGCACTGTTTTATTATCATCACCCAACTCCGAGTGAGTCTTCAGCTACAAAATGAGGGTGGGAATAAGGGGCCTTCACGAGGTCATTGTATGGATTCAAGAAACTGGCTTCATTCACTCTGCTCTTCTTTCAACTAATGTTTACCGAGCGGCTCCTGTGTGCTCTGCTCCAGACGCCGGGATTGAGCTCGTGGAGCCAGACACACTTCCTACGTGGAGGGGCTTTGAGTCTGAAGGGGAGTCAGACGTTAAATGTGAGAGTGACACAGATGAGTATAGATTACGGTTGTGAGTGCGAGCTGTGCACACGGCTTAGCACGGCTCTGGCACAGTGCGAGAGGGAGGTGGCTATTTTTATGACTTCATTACAGTTTAGGCTTTTAAATACTTCCAGTTCTGGGCTAATAATACTGAAAAGATTTCCCTGGATTTGTACGGTATTAACTGTGGAAGATTTGCTGCTTTTGGAGTTTTTGTTATGGGAGTGAAAGACTTTATATGGAGCTTCTGTCCAGGCGTTGCAGCGGATCAAGGTCTCTCCAGGTCACTGGGGCCAGGAGGCCTCCTTTGGGAGTTGCCCACAGTCCTCAGCATGTCCTGGCCGTGGCCTGTACTCTCTGGTCCTGGGAAGTAGATGTTGGAGTCTGCACATTTTGTGGAGGTGGGTGATGAACACTCCAACAGTGGAATATGCTCTTATTAAGTAGTGAGCTCTCCGTGCCAACAGGGTGCAAGCAGGGGCTGGGCAGTGGGAAAGGGGTGCCGGCCCCTTCAGAGGCGAACTCCTCCTAACCTCTGTTTGCAGAGCCAGGGCCCTGAGAGGAAGCAGAGGGGCCAGCACCCATTCTCACAAGGCAGAATAGGGCAAGGCTTCCCTGCTGATGTTGAGAAAAACGATTCCCCGTGTGTTTCTGATGGCCACTGAGTGGGTGGGAACGTAGGTGCTGGAGCCAAACAGGCCTGGGTTCAAATCCTGCACACACTGTGAGGCCTCAGGCAGGTCTCTTAATTTCTCTAAGCTTTAGTTTTCTCTTTAACCCTCATGGGGTTGGTGAGAGGATCACAGGAGGGTAGGTTTCCATCTTATGGTAAATCCCTGGGAAGCATCAGGTCTCTCCCTTTCCCTTGTCCTGCTCTTCAGAGTCTCTGCTCCTGGGCCGAGTGTTCACTCTGCCACTCAGAGGCAGCTGGTTCAAGTCTGCACCAAGTTCTCATCTGGAACAAAGATGCCTCGTGCCCCTGATCCCGTTGCCTCCTGCTCAGCCCAAGAGGATACTTTCTGTTGTGGTTGAAGCAGTAATGGGACTTTCAGGGCTGCGACTGCTGGATCCTTGGGGAGGTAACCGAGTTATGTTGTTAGGAGGAGAGAGGGAAAGCAGGGTCAAGCGGAAGAATACAGCTGTGGATTTCAACCTACCGCACTTGGAGCTTCTATACAAGGGAAATTATTTCTAATTATTAAAATTTTGGAAACATGATGCCAGTAGAAAGAATGGAAGTGGAAATGGTTCCTATGAGAAATACCAGCATATGTTTCTGTGATTTAACGGTTTGCTGTAACAGTGTGTAGCTATTTTAAAAGCAGATGAATGACTCATGGTATCCAGCAGCAGCAGTCTATTATGATGGCAGGAGTGTACTCTGGGGAGGCAGGCCTGAGTTCAATTCCCTTCCCATCATTTACCAGCTGTGTGACCTGGAGCTAGTAACACATCCCCTCTGCATTTCCTTTTCCTCCCCTATAAAATGGGTTGTTGTAAGAATAAATAACACAGTGTGGTGCTCATATATCCATGCAAAAAAAAAAGTCCAGAACTTTTAAGTAGCTGGCTAATTACATTTGTAATAATTCTTAATAGTTTAACCGTAAGCTCTTAAAGTTATAAATTTTCCTCTGACTACCAATTTGGCCTGATCCCATAAATTTGGCATGTAGTGTTCTTATGGTCATTATCTGTAAATAGACTTTTTATTTTAGATTTCTTGTTTTTTCTTGTGAGTGTGTATATGAGTGCATGTGTGTGTTTTCTAAATGGTTAGACTTTTTTCTGTATTTATTGTTAAATCCTACATGTAATATAAGGTCAAAGAATATGGATAATACCATGTTTACTTTTTGAAGCTTATTAAACTTTTTTTTTACAGTCTAATATATAATCAATTTTTGTAAGCATTCCATGGGTATTTGACAATAATTATATTTTCATTTATGTAACATCAAGCTTGTTAATTTTGTTACTCAAATACTATATTCATATATGCAAGCATATGTACATATACCTGTATATGTGTATATGTACATATATCTGTATATGTATATATGTGTATATTTTTGTGCACACACACAAGTTCTGGAAGAGACATGCCAAAGGTGCCCTGTATCGTTATGTCTTTATTGACTTCATTGTTTATTTCTGGCAGTTTTTTTGCTTTGTATATTTTGATCTAATATTGCTTTGTACATAGAAGTTTGTAATCAATCAATTTGATCTTCTCAATCAACTGTGCTTTTCATTAGCACCAATCACTCCTCTTCCCTTGTTCCATGTTTTCTGCCTTGAATTCTGCTTTACATCACTACTGCTGCTCAGCCCCACCAGTATTATGGGGATCATGGCAGTACTCCTGGAGGGCTGCTGGAAGGACGTGTCACCCATTGTCCGTACACATCCCCAGAGAGTCTGAAGCACAGCCCTGTGGCAAGCTAGCCAGCTGAGTGCTGTGTAGGGCATCACGCTACATAGCCAGTCCTCCCATCCCTGGCCAGGTGGCTTTTCCGAATCCCCCCAGGGTGACGCCATGAGGCCGTGCTGAGGCCCAACACTGGCCTGTCATAGCTACGTTTTTATATTGCATGTTATTTTCTTATTAAGCACCCTTAGAAGAATTCTCTGTTTAGCTTTAGCTTTTATTTACCAAGGACTGTTGCTTTCATTATTTCTTCTCTTGCCCTTGGTTAATCTTAGATTTGTGTGTGTGTGTAGACAGACATAGATATGCAGCTAAGTGAATAAATGAAAAGCTGAATTCAGTTCAAATGGTGTTCTCCTGGATATGTTACCTTAGACCTATTAAACTTCACTGGTTGGTGAAAACACAAGTATTCATTCATCTCTTTTACGTCCTGGTACTTTCCAGTTGGGTTACAAGAAAAAAAAAGTCCTTGTTGCTGGAGAGTGTATGAACCAGAAATGCTAAAATCTTGCCAGCATTCACTTTGGTTGTCACTCAGATGTTTGATTTACAGTTCGATGATCTATGTGAAAAATTAGTAGTCAGGATTGGAGTTGAAGTCCAAATAGTATCCAGTTTTCACTAAGTCACCCTTTATATCTTCTAGCAGAGCAGTTCTATTTTGTGCTGTTTTGTCTGATTAATGGTGAACACTTACCATCATTAAATATCTTCTTTGCTTTTAGGGATCTATCTTCTGGACTTAATCTACATTGATTCTGCATATCCTGCCTCAGGCAGCATCATGGAAAACGAACAAAGATCCAATCAGATGAACAATATTCTCCGAATAATCTCTGATTTACAAGTTTCCTGCAGCTACGGTTAGTACCCCAGTTGTTGGAATTGTGAAATGTTACATCATTGAAATTTGGGTCCAGCACCTTATCAGTGAGAAAGCTCCATCTGGAGCGTCAAACATGTGCTAGATTTTTTTACACACATTTGATCTTCAAAGACTGTGCAAACAAGATGTTACCTACAGGACACAGGGTGTGAGCAAACCTACAGGACATTTGGTGTAAACAAACTTACAGGACACCAGGTGTGAGCAAACCTGCAGGACACAGGGTGTGAGCAAACCTGCAGGACTCAGGGTATAAGAAAACCAACAGCCTCTACTTGGGAAGGCCCCCTGGGAAGCCAGGGTGGGCTTCTGCAAGGTGGACTCACTGAAGCAAACAGCCCACTCATCAGCCCCCCAACAAGTACATGGCCAGCAGAGCAATTGCAGACATGGTTTTGGGGTCAGACAGACTAAGGCTCAGATTGGGGCTCTGCCCCTTGAAAAGTCACTTTCTCATTTCTGAGTCAGGTTTTCTCATCAGTAAACACGGGGACACGATGTGTGCAGAGCCCTTAGCACACCCCAACTTTTCATTAGAGCTCAGTAAACATTCACTCTTGGTACCATTCCCTGTACCTGCATCTTCCCCGTCATCAGCTTCAGGAAGCAGAGGTCATCCCCACTGCAGAGAAGAACACTGAGGCTCAGAAAAATAAAATGACCTGTTCAGGATCATAAGGGGCAGAAGCATCGGGTGCTCCTCACATTGCCTGGACGCACCTCCCAGAAAGCAAGGGCCCTTCCCCACCCTCTCCCTGCTGCTCTTCACAACCCCCTCCACTGCCTCCATCTGTCCCCTTAGCTTGTTCTTTCCCTCCCCGTGGGGAACAGCACAGAGGATCTTGGAGGATGCTCGGCCCTCAGGAGTGCAGTGATCGTGAAGGGATGCGGAAAGCAGCTGACATCAGTCAGTCCAGGAAACGGAGACAATGAAGTGTGGCAGGTGGCCTGGGGTCAAAACCCAGCTCCGCCACTTCTCAGTGACATGAACTTTACCAGTTGCCATGACCTCTTCCTCTGTGAAACGGACATATTATGTCCCCCAGATGAGGCAGGAGTGAAGGTTAAAGCAGATGACTCCTGGGAATTGCGGGGTACAGAGCCTGGCACAGAGCAGGTGCTCACGCGTCTAGGCCCGTCCCTGTCTCCCCAGGATGCAGCAGCTGCAGCCCAGGAGCCAGACCGTCCTGCTCTGCCTGGCTCTGGGCTGGGCTCCACACCAGGCTGGATGAGGTGTTTGCATTCATCCTTGCTTTCTTGTCAGACAGGGGTGGGTAGGCATGGGAGGCTTGCCAAATGACCCTGGTGGAAACCTGTTTTAGGACAGACCCTGACTCTGGTCTGTTCTTGAGGGCCAACTTTCCCCAAAGACCCATCTTTCCCCGGCCAAAGAACTGTGGTGGCCTCGGGTGAGGTGTCTGTGGCCCAGCCATCTGGGCGCACTCCTCGAGGGCAGAAAACCAAGCCTGGTGACCCCTCTGTGCCCAGTGCCCAGTAGAAGGCCTGGCCCAAGGGACCATCGGCAATGCTTGGAAGACTGAATATATGTCCCAACACCCACAGAGCATCTAGTGCCCAAATCAGCGATTCCCACCTTTCTCATTCGGGACCTGGAGGTGGGGAAAGACTGAACCCCCGGCTTCTGTCCACCTCTGCAGATCACCTCACGACCCTGCCGCACGTGCAGAAGTACCTGAAGTCTGTGCGCTACATCGAAGAGCTCCAGAAGTTTGTGGAAGACGACAACTACAAGTGAGTGCCCACGTTCCTGGCCCACGTGGCACGCGAGGGACACAACCTCTGACCCCCGGCCACAGAGCTGCTGCCTGTCTGGGCCCACGGGCCCCAGGTTCCTGAGGAAAGCGGTCTGTGGACTTCCCAGCTTGGTTCTCCCAAACTGCCCAGGGAATGCGAATTTAGACTCCACGGCTATGCGAGGGGCAGGCTTGGTGCGCCAGGTCTCATGAGTGACACGGTGCTGGGGTGGTGGGCAGCTTCTAGACGAATCTCCAGGCTGGCAAATAGAGTTCTCCGGGAGCCTGTTTCATGGATGAGACAGCTCCCTGTGCTCCCAGCTTTCTGTGGGATACTTGCTGACTGGCATTGGCTGAGGCCCATCTCCGTCCCGGGCAGCCCTTATGGAGTAGACTCAGTTCTCATGAAGACCCCTCTGGGTCCTTCAGCCTCATCTTCCACTCATCCTGCTCTGGCTTTCGGTTCTTTCTTTGTGGCACCTGGGAGTTTATCCAGCATTTCTATGCATTTAGAGGGAGATGCAGGATTTTTTCATATCAACTCTGCCATACTGATCGGACGTCCTCTTGGCTCATTTTGAGCCTGAGGTCATCCACGAGCCTCAGCATATTTCCGTATGACCTGATCTGCAAGGCTCCCCCTCTTGCAGTGGATCATTTACCCCTAACTCTCAACTTTACGTGTATTTTTTAAATCTCACCTTCTCAGCTGCTTCTGGTAGACCGTGATTCCTTTGAACCCTGTTAGCCAATATAGTTTTTAATCTCTTCCTGTTTGGAATCTGAAAATTTGATCAGCTTGATTACTCTTCATCTAAGTCCCTGAAAACTGGAGAACCCAGGTTTCCCATGGGTCACTCACCAGGACCTCAGGAATGACCATTCAAACAGCTCCACGTCCGCCAGCTCCACAGTCGCGATCCTCGGCCCTGGTGGCGAGCCAGTCACCCGGGAGGACTTCTCACCATCCAGATGTCTGGGGCGGGGCCTGAAAATTTGTGTTTTTTCAAAGCTCCATAGGTGGTTCTAATGATTGGTTTTAACCTTGAGAATAAGACATATCTTTAGTTGTTATCGTATGATACTTTGTTAAAATAGAATATAATATGAAATTTTGATCTATTACATAATAGTAACAACAATAGATGAAAGCCAGAGATTATCATTAAAATTGTATCTGCCACAAATTGAACTCATTTTACTTACAAAACATTTGCTGTGCTTAAAAATGTAGTCTGAGGTGTGAAATTATTCCTTCTTAGGTTCTGGGGTAATATTTCCCATTCCTGTGCCAGTAGACAATTAAAGAGACAGTAGTGGGGCTTTTTGTTGGTTTTTTGTTTTGTTTTTTAATCTTTACCCGAAAAGTGAGGATATTTTTTTTCCATTGATTCTTAGAGAGAGTGGAAGGGAGTGGGGAGAGAGGCAGAGAGAGAGAGAAACATTGATGTGACACATCGATCGGTTTGCCTCCCACACATTCCCTGACCCGGGTCAGGGATCGAGGGTCAGACCTGCAACCCAGGTGTGTGTCCTTGACCCGCAATCGAACCTGTGACCTCTGGTACGCAGGCTGGTGCTCTAACCACTTAGCACGCCAGCCAGGGCGAGATAGTAGTTTTCATTAACACTAAATCCCTTAAGGAGAAAAGTGATCTATAAATACTTCTGGCCATGAGATAATCCTTGGACAAGCCGAAGGTTGTAATTGCCCCACCCTTTGTGCAGGACTTTGAGCACCCCCGGTATTGAATGCTAAACCAGTCAGCCTGGACTTTACAAAGGTCCTTGTTGTGGAAGTGGACAGACCCAAGGAGGAAGCCTGCATACTTGCCCCCGGGCCCAGACCGTTGAGGGAGCCCCTTCCCCGGGAGAGGGCCCCTTCCCTGTTTCTGAGCGGCAGAGACGTTCCAGCCTTGTGACCGCTTGAGGAACCCACACTCCACAGCCCAGCTGGAGACTCGCTTCCCACCCCAAAGGGCGCAGCTGCTTAGCTGATACCTCGATGATTACATTTCTGCACCCTGCCCCCCTCCGCTTTGGAGATACTGTGCCAGGAGGCCCACCCAGTGCTTTGTTTTGCTCAGCCTTTAGTCTCTTTTATTTTACTCATTAAGTGAGCATAAATTTGGACGTTTTTCTCTGCACAGGAGGTACATAGATATACATTGAGAAGGGTAGACAGAGGGGTGGATGCAAGACTAGAATCTGTTCAAATTGAATTGTGCTACACTTGCTATTTTTAATTAAAAGTATTAACTTTAATTTTATTTTAATTTAACCAGAATAAAGGAACTGAAATAAAATGTGAGGAATTGCTGCTCTTCAAATAAATATCTCTCCACTACAAGAGATATTATTTCCTAAGAGAGCCTCTGAGATTAACAGAAGAGGTCAGGGAAACACTGAAAGGATCCAGCCCGTCAGTTCTGACTAGATTTCCACTGTGAGCAGGGTCAGTTCACTCGGGCTGTGAAAGATGAGAACGTTGGCTCTCTCCCCGTCCCGTCACCTCCACTTCACCGCCTTCCAATTTGTTGTTAGTTATGTTATTGTCACCACAGATCCAAGTTTACAACATACACATCATGTTCAGGAATCACAATTCCTACTGCTCAGTGTTTTTAAACAGTCAGTTCTTACCACCTGTTGTTTCTCCACAGCTTCTTCATTCCTGAAGTCTTTATGTTTTTATTTCTTTTTATTATTATTTTTTTAATCCTTACCCAAAGGCATTTTTTCCATTGCTTTTCAGAGAGAGTGGAAGGGGGAGAGAGAAAAAAAAAACATCGAAACATCAATGTGAGAGAGACACATCTATTGGTTGCCTCCTGCTTGCACCCAGATCAGTACCAGGGATCAGGCTTGCAACCGAGGTACATGCCCTTGACTGGAATTGAACCCGAGACCCTTCAGTCCGAGGGCCAAAGCTCTAACCACTGAGAAAACTGGGGAGGGCCTGGAGTCTTTCTTTTAAGTCAGCCCCTCATGTCGATGATTCCAGTAGGTTTTCAGGAGTCCCACATGCTCTGATTTCTTTCATGAGCACATGGCTTCTGGCTCGCTGGGCTGCTGTCCTTTGCAGGTCACTCCCAGGACGCGCAGGCCCTGCTCCCTTGCCATCCGGCCCTATACGTTGCTCTAAGAAGCCTGGGCCAGTCCAGTCTCTTCCTCTTGTTGAGTGTTTAGCTTGATCTGCCTGGTGGGTGAAGAATTACTTGACGTTCAAAAGCTCAGCAAGGGAGCGCCTCCGGGTGGAGGGTTTGTACTCAGTGCCCCTGGCCCGAGGTTACTCTTTCTTCGCGTCGGAGCTGTGTGTCCTTGACTCCTTCTGTGCCATTTCTTGGCTTTTCTCTTTCCAGGATCCCAGGAATCCATTGTTGGCGCCCTGCCTTCCATATCCATTAGCTTCTTTCTAAGGGCTCTACTCTCTGTCTTTGTCACCGTGGTCACTCGGGTCATCTGTTTCCACTAGGTATTCAATCACTGCTTGGTTTGCTCCCCAAGGCCTCTGGCCCCTCCATCTCCTGTGTCATCTCATTTTCAGGTCTTGTTTATTTAGTGCATGTTCTGCTTGAGTTGCTCTGTGCTCAGAGCACTTGGGGGGATTTCCTAGTGTTTGTGGGGGCTGCCGCCAGGCCGTGCCATTTGCTCTCTTCCTTCCTCTCTCCTTTTTCTGTGAGAGGATGTTTCCATTCCTTTCATCTTGCTCCCGTTTGAGAGGCTCCGTCTCGCTATTTCATGGCTGTGACAACGGGAGGGACAGCTGACCCTGCTCCCCATGTGTGAGATGGGTTGATTCTCCTGCTGTGCGGTGAGGTCCACGGGTCCTTAGTCTGTCCCTCCTGGTGTCTGGGGGAATGCGGGGCTCAGGCTCCATAAGGAAGGGAGCAAGCAGTCTGCTTTAGGTAGGGGGGCTCCACTTGACCTATGTCAGGGTTTCCTCCACCCTGTTGGGGGCTATAGCCCATTCCAGAAAGGGATACCCTCAAGCGTGAACCCCCCAATGAAGGCTTCACTTCCATGCTCCCCACCCGTCTCAGCCGTTTCTCCCAGCACCTGGAGCTGTTCAGAAGGGGGTAGGCAAGGACCCGCTCAGCCCTCCTGAGCCGTCTCGGAGGGCAGGACAGGAACCGTGCGTGTGACAACTTTCAGTCAGACTTCACCGTCTTCCTTTTCTTTCCTTGGCTACACGTTTCTGAAGTTCATGGTTCAGTTCACACCCCTTCCCTTGCTGAGTAGCATCTGGTGAGTTTGTTTACTCCTAAGCTTTCATAAGTGTTTGTTGGTTTTGTTGGGAGAAGGGGAGTCTGGCATCTGGCTTCACTCTGTCATTTTCACCCAGAAGTTCTTTTTTTTTGGTTAATCCTCACCTGAGAATATTTTTTCCATTGATTTTTAGAGAGAGGGAGAGAGACAGAGAGAAACATCAGTGTGAGTGAGACACATTGATTGGTTGCCTCCCACACACCCCCGACTGGGGCTGGGGATTGAGCCTGCAACCCAAGTACTTGCCCTTGACTGGGAATCGAACCCACAACCCTTCGGTTCATGGGCCAATGCTCTAACCACTGAGCAACACCTACCAGGGCTCACCCAGAAGTTCTTAATTGATGCTTTTAAATAATAATAATAATACTGAGCTACCAATCCTCATAACGTGCCCATAGCCTCCTGCCTCTGTGGTGGCAGCTGAGAGGGAGTGCCAAGTGATGATCACAAACCCCAGTTCGGGATAAGACACTCGGGGTTTGAGCCCCTGCTCTGCCACTTGCTGCCCTATGAAGTTGGGGAGCTACTTCAGCTCACTACCCCTCAGCTGCGTCATCTATAAGATGCAGATAACATGCCTGCCTAGCTCATAGGGTTTTCTTGAGAGTGAACACGTTGACGCCACGCAGGTGACAGGCCATGATTACTCTTTTTGCCCTGTCACCCTTAACCATTATTTCTTGGTCATGGGAATCTCTGGAGACTCGGAAGGAAGTCACTGTGATCTGGAGCGGACCTCAGAGTATTCCTGGGTGTCATGCCCATAATCGTCTTCAACAGCAGCCCAGTCTCCCGATTACAAACATGCTGCGTTCCCCCTCTGATCCACCAGAGCCCATCTGATCTTGTGAAAAATCTTTGCTTTCAGACTGTCGCTCAGAATTGAACCAGGAAGCAGCTCTCCAAGGCTCGTGTCTTCCAAGGAAGATCTTGCAGGTATTGTAGCCACATCGTATCGAGTGGGGGCAAACCTGCTAAAAGCCCAAATATGGCTGCCAGGGTTGGTCCTGCCTGGGAGACAGAGGGTACAGCTGTCCCGCTCACAGCCCTCCCGCACCAACCTGCCTAGGCTCCCGAGCACACAGAACCCCTGGAGCGCACCTCTGGCTGGGCCTCCCTGTGATTAGGGCCGAGGCTTTGAAGTCAACCCTAGCTGTCCTGTTTCTGTGCTTTGTCATTTTCTTTCTCTGATCTTCAGTGGCGTCAGCCACCGTTGGAGGTCATGCTAGCAGTCACCTTGCAGGGTCGTTGTGATGCCTGGGCAGACTCATACCCATGAAACGCTCTGCTCGTGGCACGTGGTGAAAGTGCGTCGTTGGTATCACCGTGACAATTTGCTTGTCTCAGTGTTCCAGCCAGTTCTCCAAGACTGGGGCAGATCTCTGAGGCTGCCTGGGGTGGGGCCAGACTGGGGTCGGGGCCAGCTGTGCTTCCTCCGCCTGATTGGAGCTTGGGTCACACCAACCTAGGTTCTAGGCCACTACAGTGTTAGATAAGCAGCTCCACCCCTCTGGGCCTTGGTTTTCTCACCTGTAAAGATAATACAGCTTCCATCCCAGGGTTGTTGGGAAGTCAGAATGGAAATGATATTTGGAAGGCACTCGGTGTAGTCTGACATGAGTGTGTTCGGGAAAGAGTGGCTGTTGCAAGCTGCCGCCTGGTGTTGTGGCACCTCCAGTCCGTTGACCTACTCAAGCCACTCTCTCCGCTGTCTGGAGCCAGGCTAGTGCTGCAGATTCTGGGCCTCAGAGCCCACAAGAAGTAGTGTTGCCTGCCGCCTCTCAGGAGCCCCAGCAAGCAAGGCCCCTGCCCTGACCCCCTGGGTTTTCTCCACGCTCCTTTTCTTTTCCAGCCCCTCCTGGCTCCATCGCATGGGCTGGACCTGTCCCTCGTGCCCCTAGGGCCACATAGTGACTAAGCAGAGGGAGATGCCGGTTGGTCCACAGAGCCTTGGGTGGTGCTGCTATCCACGTCTCAAGACAGAGTCCTGGCCTCAGTTTGATTTTCACAGGGTCCTGTCAGCCCAATACTGAGCCCACACGTGACGGATAACCCGCTAGCAAAGGTGACCAGGTGTAAGACCCTGGTGCTGGTCTTGTCTCTGCCCCTCAGTTCTGTCCCTGTCCAAGGACACATTCCCCTCCCAGTCAGCAGAGTTCCTTCCAGGTGTTCAGTTGCCCAAGCCTGGCCTCTGGGGGGCTGGGGCAGGGATCCCATCAGAGGGAGGCCAGGAACAGCAGCAGATCCTACAGCAATTGTTTAGGGCCACACAGGGAACAATAGGGAACACTAACCATCCCAGACTTTCTTCAGGGGATAATGCCAGGATTCTGGAGCAGAGGGGGGGCTCCAGTACAGACAGGTTCCTCTCACCCTCCTGAGTCTCTGCCAAATGAGTTTGAGTGAGAAGCCTCCGCAGCCTTCTGTGGTTAATATGTGTTAGCAGGAGAAGCCACATCTCTGGCCTTCTCTGGTGCCAAGAAGTTCCCATGTCCACTCTTCCTTTTCACCCTCCTGACAGTGCAGAGGGTTCATGTCCCAGAGCCCCTTCTGGCGCCCAGCCCCGGTCAGCACCACGTGCGTCTCCCACTCTCCAGAGGGCTGTAGACCAGCAGCAGGCTCGGAAAAAGAACACTGCTAATCAGGGGCCTCGGGACCGGGCCACTCACTGAGCTCTCTGGGGCCGGGAAGGAAGAGCTGCATTTACTTTGACCCCTACCTAGGATGGAAACCAGTGCCCAGAGCCGGGACCTACCCCCGGCCCAGTCTCCTCGAGGTCAGCCAGACTCTTCTTCCACCCCACCCACCAGCACCTCCACCTGGTTCCATTGTTCATATGAAACCAGAGCCCAGCACGTTAATGAGCCTCCGGCGTCAGTTGGAATCCTGGCAGGAAACAAAATTGCCCCTGATGGCTCACAGGAAGCAACTTCGTGAAGATTCCACGGGAACAGGGATAAATTCTGCACATAAGGAGCAGCGTGGCGCAGCACCTCTAGGCTGGGGGACACAGGGAAGAAAAAGTGTTTCCAACTCCAGTGATGGCTGAGTCGCAGAGGACTCAGTGTCTGAGGGGTCAAACAGAACACCCAGTGCCCGCCAAGGCTGTTTCTCCATCTGTAAAGTGGGCACACTGATACCTCCTTCTCAGGGGTATTGTGGGAATTTACTGAGATCACATGTGTAAAACTCTGAGCACTGATTCTGACACACAGACCGCTCCCATCAGGTGTAACATCCGTTATTAGGACAGTGTAATTGTCAGTACTATAATTCCACCTCTGCACCAAATCACCTTTCAGAGTTTAGTGAGATGTCACTGCCTCAGGAAGCCTTTTCCTCCCACCCTAGCCCCACCCCTCCTGGACCAGGTCAGGGCCCCTGCCACACCAGGGGTAGGCAGACTAAGGGCCAAATTAAGCCCCCTGTTTGTATTGGTGCACAGCCACACTCATCGTTGACCCCACACCCATCGTTGACCTATGGTCTGTGGTTGCTTCCACATTCCAGTGGCAGAGCTGAGTGGCTGGGACCAAGACCCTCCAGCCTACAAAGCCTAAAGCATCCACTAGCTGGCCTTTCACAGAGCTAGCTGACCCTGCACTTCCCCCTTCCAGCTCCGTACCTCTCCACAGCACTTCCGTCTGCACGAATCAGACAGGTATCTGTGCTTGTCTGTCCCAGGCCTGCCTTCCCCCTCAGACTGGAACCCCTGAGGTAAGGACCCCGTCTGGAGTTCTCAGAGCCTGGCACCCAGGGGCACTGGGTAAATACCCATGGTTGCCTGCCTTTATCCCTTCAGCCTCTGAGCTCCCTGCTGGGCCCTGTGGGCTCCTGGTTCTCTAAGCAGCTCCAGAGGCGGGGACTGCTGACTCCACACTCCCTCCAAAGAAGTGCTGATGCCAGCAGTTTTCACGAAGTGGAGCAAGCTCGGCTCACAGGGGTGTTTTCCACCAATTTTCTGAATCCCTGGCTGCAGCCCTGGAAGCAGGATGTTAAGGTTTTCATTGATCACCAGAGGGCTTAGGAGTGTCTGGAAAGCTTCAGACTCACTCCAGGTCCTGGCTCCCAACCCGCAGCCTCAGGTGACAGAGAGGTGGTGCCTCTGCAGCCCTGGGACAGCCAGGGGTCTTGTGAGGGCGGGGCCCGAGGGGCAGCTCCATAGAGGCCTTTTCTGGTCTGGTAGTTAGACTAGGCTTCATGGCAGGAGCCCGACCAGACCTGGGACAGGAATGTGCCTCTTGCAGTCCCAGGAATGGCAGGAACGCAGCCTCCCTCTGCTCCTCAGGAGGAGGGTTTAAGCTACTGCTCTGGACTGTCTTTCCAGCAGGCAGGCACTCCCGCACCAGCCAGGGAAAGGCCCCAAGATGCATTCATTCCTTCCTTCACTCAAGACTCCCATGCCAGGGCTCTGCTGTGAACCAGGCGCTTGCTATGGGCCACAACCCAGGAATAAGGCCCAGACCTGCCCTCGTGGAGCTGACATGATAGTAGGGGAGACTGACGGCAGAAGCCACAAGGGACCAAGGTATAGCATGTCGAAGAGCCAAAAGCAGACCATTGGGAGCTCCTTGACGCCTTTTTGCAGGTGGACCCACTTCTCTAACCAGCTCACCTGCCAGGGACACGGGACGAAGACTGGCGTTGGGAGCAACCGTAGTCTTGGGTCCCTCTAAGACCTTGGTTAATGTCAGAGGGGTCCCAGCTGAGGCTGTGCCCTCTGTCTCTGCAATGACCCCTGCACCCCACCAGAGAGCTGCCACCACTCTGCACCCCCGGGGAGGGGCTATGCCGGCAGATCCACACGGACAAATAGACTGTGAGAAAGGAAATGGAGAAACCTCAGTTTCTGGTCTGTGGAGAAAAAAAGGCCAGGAATGCCACGTTTTCAATTTTCCCCATATGTAATGTTTCATTTATATAAATGAACTAATATTTTCCTGGAGAGCAGAAATCATAAAGAGCGTTGACCCCGGAGAGGGCAAGCCGTGTTTGTGTGCGTCTCAGAACCGGTAAAGACATTTCCAGACTTTATGAGCCTGCCTCCACGTGGCCAAACCAGCGGACAGGTTTCCTCTGAAGAGTCCTTGGCAGCAAAGCAAGTCCATGGAAAATCTCGGCCCGCCTCGGGTTCCTGCACACGCACCCTCGGGGCTGCTCTCCCACACGCCCCTCTGGCTTCCTGGCTTCATCGCCCACGGGGGGAAAGCCCTGCTTGGAGTCAGGCAAACCCGAGTTCAAAGCCTGGCTCTGGCTCTGGCACTTGGCCAGGGACCTCAGCAGTCGGCTTGATCCCTCCGAGCCTCAGTGTTCTTGTCGGTAGGATGGGGATGGGAGTAAACCCTTCACGTTGGCTCGCTTCAGAGGGCTGAGGCCAGGCCAGAAAGGCCTGAGCACAGCACCTGCGCACGCTCACCCCTCAGGGACGCTAGCTCTCGTGTCCCGATGCAGGGACAGTGTGAGGCAGCCAACAGGGGCCAGAGGCCCTCACCTCCGCTGCAGCTCACCACTCACCAGCCTGTCAGGGTTATGGCCACATAACTGCCACCCAGAGTCTAGTGGCACAAAGCAACTGTTTTATTAGGCTCATCGATTCTGTGAGTCAGGAGGTCGGATAGGGCACAGCCGGAGAGCTTGTCTCGGCTCCGCAGTATCCAGGGCCTCCGCTGGAAAGACTCAGAGACTCAGCAGGCCTCGATGTCTGGGGGCTGGAATCTTCACCCAGACATGCTTGGTGCCGGCTGCTGGCTGCAGCTGCGGCTGCAGCTGGAGTGAAACGTGTGTGCGTGTGGCCTCCCATGTGCCCTGGGCTACTTCATCACGGTCCAGCCTCGGGGTCATCAGACCCTTGCACGGCAGCGATTCGCCAGACAGGATGTCCCAAGAGCAGGACGGAAGCTGCATCACAGCGTCTGTGTGACCCACCTCGGAAGTCA